GTAGTCCCAGTCCCATTTCTGCCTTGGCCTCCCTGACTGCCCCCCTACATTCCCAAGCAACTGCAGTATAGTCCTCCCTGGTGATGGCCCCTCCTTTACATTGGGCGTGCGCCTCCCTTTTAGCTAGGAGACATTCCCGGATGCTTTGGTGAGCCATAGGGGCTTTTGCACCCTCCTGCTCCCTTTGATCCATGTTCTCAACTTGATATCTGCTTTCACAAGAAATTAATTTCTCCGCTCAACATTTCCTGAGTTTCTAACATTTAAGGGTTTAGTTAAACCATGGGATTCTTGAAAGGCCACTCATTTGCTCCAGCCATCTTTGTTACACATCCAGGAGGTGTTGCATGTGGGCATAAGCTATTCTGCTCAAGTCATTAGAACTATGATATCCAAGTTTCATCCCACTGACTACTTACAAAGATCCCTGAGGGCCAAAAGGAAGGAACAAATTACAGGTGCTGTTATCTTTCATATAAAAGAAGCAGCCTGTGGTGATCGTTAATTAATTATCTCCTGTTTGTATAGCACTTTAAATGTGTGTTGAGTGTTGCATAAGCACAGAGCATAGCAAATCAGGCCATGCAGCAAGCTGTCATGACCTACACAGCCTTCACAGGTCAAACGTAATACTCCATTCCAGTCCAGCCTTCAACCTAGGCATTTGGATTAAGCTGGGGTCTTGCATGCCTGGATCTGTACTATTCATGGACCATGGCACCTTGTCAAAGATGGAGAGAGGTTGCAGATAGGATTGCAGGGCATCATGGACCACGTGACTTGGCTACTTCTGCAGTAGGTAAAGGCAAACGTAGGACTAGAGCTGTGTGTGATGGACTGGGGATGAAAGGGCTTTTGTGTCACTTGCAACATCTGCAGAACTGTAGGCAGCAAAATGGTGAGTTGTTGAACTGAACAAGCTGTAAATAATTCTGGAGCTACCACTTATGTCCTTCCATGATGTCCATTCGTGCTGATTTAAACCGACCTGTCTTGACCTCATGGTACATCATTGTTTCATTGTCTTTGGGATGGTGTTGGCTAGAAGCACCTGCTAAAATCCATCAGCCTGCTGTTGCTTAGATGTGGGATCTAGAGCAAACAGGATATGCCCCTAACTTAAAATCTGGGAGAATTGGTTCTTTGGCATCGGTAATAATTTTGGTGACTTCATTGGCATGGTTCAGCTTTTGAAACTTAAACCAACCTGTGGAATTTAAAATGATAGTGCCAGGACCTTCTGGGATTTGAGGTAAATGGAAGACTGGACTTAGTGGTTGCTGAATGGGAAGCCTTGTATTTCAGTAGTGAAAGGAACTGGTGTCTCGATGGTAGGGAAACTTAATGCCACAGGCTTGCACATTTGGAGCCATTTTTATAGGTGCACACACCACTGGCTTTAGATAGAGCTGATATACTGGGCATCACTTAAAATTAGACCCTTGGGCAGGAGACCTATATTAGCTACCATTTTGGGTGCCAGTCTTCATTTAGTTCCTACTTTGTCTTCACTTCCCAGATCATAAAATAGTCCTGTTTTATCATACCTACCTTACTTGCTCTGTGCACAGATCTTGTTAAATTCCCACTTCTTCCCCATAAAGTTAGATTAGTGATTGCCTAAATTTCTTTCTTTTAGAGTCAGTAAAACAAATCCAAGGATCTGGCATTACTGAGCCCTAAAGAACTGGCCTATAGAGAACACTTCATTCTCCCTTAAAGGAGCATACCAGAATGCATTTGCTTTTAATATGCAGCTGGAGGCATTTTAGGATTTTACTTGCTGAAGAAATGGTGCAATCTAGAGAAGTGGAGCATAAATATGTTTCTAAGCTCTTGGACTCTGGCCTCAGTAGTGGAAACAAGATGCTTCTTTTCCCTGTTGTTCCCAAATGGGAAGAATAATGATCTTGTGCCTAAGATGATATAAAATCTTACAAAATTATGGCCTGAAGGAGACCTCACAAGGTCATCTATTCCAATCCCCTGTTCAAGGCAGGATCATCCCTGTCTAAACCATCCTAGACAAGTCTGTCTAACCTATTCTTAAAACTGCTGAACAGCCCTCTCATACAACTTCTTTGCGCCATGACCAGTACTCAGATTATAGGTCTGGAGATCATTGTTTTAATCTTTTCGCTCAGTTCACTTGAGCCCAGACTTTCAACTGGCATAAATCGACATAACTCCAGTGCAGTCAGTGGAATGAAACAGATTTCCACCGCTGCAACTCTGGTCCTCTCTCTCTGTCTCCTCTATACAATATGTGCAATGCCTAGCCTGCAGAGGATAGATCGGGGTGGGCAATTATTTCGGGTGGAGAGCTGCGTATTGAGTTTAGCAAGCCATCAAGGGCCGCATGACAGGCAGCCAGGGGCAGATAAATATTAATTTTCTAAATTTTTAGGGGCCCCGCGGGCTGGATAGAATGGCCTGGCGGGCTGCATTCGGCCCATGGGCCACATTTTGCCCACCTCTGGGATAGATCATCATCGATGGTTTGATGTCTTTATTGCATGCTGCAAACACTCAGGTGGAAGATGGGGTAGAAATAGAAAACATTACTTTATACCTGTCTCTGTGGTACGCTGGGCACGGGCTAACTGCTGAGCTCCTGTACTCTGGCTGGTGGGCTTGTTACGGACCAGGCCCTTAATTCTGTACAGGTCAGTCTTGGAGGTTTTCAGGGATAATGACAGCTCTCCCCTCCTCTTGCTTGTACTGTAGAAAGGCTGTGGTGACGACTAAAGCTCCAAGCAATGGATGCAGGAAGTTTCTTTCCTTCAAAACTGGCTTGTGAGCCCATCGGTGAGAGCAGAAAAGAGTTGCCTGGCATGCACTGGTTGAAGAGTGGCAGTAGGAGGCTGGTCGGGTATGGCTGAGTGGGCACCGGCTGGAATGGCTGGCACTGCCCTATCCTTACAAAGCAGCCCGAGCTGGAAACATGATCCTCTTGGCAAACACGCACACTGCCATTGTTTCTCAGAGAGCAGAGGACTTTAGCAGCTTGTTCCTTTTGCTGGCATTTGGTACAATCCTGGGGCAACATTAACTCTGTGCTTACCTAGCCAGAGGGCTCATTCCTGGAGGCTTGTGACACCAATGAATAGAAGGAGCCGGGGTCCCTATCAGTAAAGCCACGCAGCTTCATCACATACTGGAACAAGGGTTTGATCTCCAATGCACCTGCATTTTCTAACCTGCTTTTATTTTGGCTCCCTTTAGCAGCTAGTTATGATCCCACATAGTAAGACATTTTAGCGCGGGATCTTGGCAGCATCCCTCTTTATGATTTAAATACACAGGCTTTTATAAGCAAGAGACATCCGAGCACAGGTTACGAGGGGAGCTCATCATACCATGTCCCAGTCCCAGCAGAAGGTGCAGAAATTCTAGCTGCACAGGTGTTCCAGGCTCTGCCAGCAGTGGGCAGGAGGGATCTGTGAAAGAGCCCTAGCTGTGTGAACGGTTGGCCTGCTGCTGCACTGGCTTTGTTGGCACTGGTGGTTGGGAGTGTAGGGAAGAGGCAGTTACGTTATGGGCATCCAGAGTAATTAGGGAAGCTGTCTGGTGAGACAGTAGCCCTGAGTGCCACAGGAAAAAGGCCACTCAGGGAATGCGCTTAATTGGCATGTTCCAATGGACCTTCTCTGTGTGCTAAAAGCCTTTGATGGCAGTATGTTCACTGGGCCCCTCGTACCCTGGAGGGTAAACGTGCAGCTTTCAATGGCTGTTTGTCCTCAAAGAGCTCCCTGGGAGGCCCATCTGTTCTGGCCAGGCAGCCGAACATGATGCCTAGCTCAGGGGAATGCTAGACCAATGCCAAGGGGAGGAAGAGAAGCTGCTTTGATAATAATGATGCATTATTTGTACTGCGGTAAGGCCTGGAGCACCTAAGCAGGGTTGCTAAGGTTTTAAATGATTAAAACAGACTTGTCACCTGCTAACAGCCCATTTCCCAGAAAGCAGGCATCTTGCCTTGGTCTTCAGTGCTCTAGAGAAAAGGCCAATGAAGGTGAGCGCTGTCAGCTGCTGTTGATCCCTGAAAGGTCTACGTCACTCATTGTCCCTTGGGAGGCAGCACTTTTCTCCATACATGCAGTGTGTACAGCCATGCATGGATCTAGGGTTTTGAAAAGGGGGGTGCAGGTGGTGTGGTGTATCATTGCATTAAATACAACACACATTTTATCCACTTAAAAGAGAAACTTGAAGCTTTCCTAATATGCTAGGGCTCAGTTATATCATTCATTTTAAGATCAAAACAAAAACAAATATAACTGTATTGTATTGTGCACTAATTTGCTGTCTTATACATGAAGTTAAAAAAAAACCCACAACAAACTAGGCAAAAATAGTACAAAGAGACTGTTTTATTAGTCCGGTAGTCATTATTGTTTAACAAATCTGAATAAGAGATGTATATTTTTACTAAATCTAGCCTTCTTGGGTATCTTGATAGTGCATCCAGCACTTCAGTATCACCTGAGTTAGTTACCCTGAATTCAAATAATCGCACCTGAGTTAAGGTTTTTTCTAAAACTAAAGACAGTCTTTTGGGCTGTGAAACAGCAGAAGCGGGACACTACCAGGAATACTTAACAGACATCAACTTTGTGGAAGAAAGGATAACTTGATTAAAATAACATCAAGACCATTAAGATGAAGGAGAGGGTTGTTACCACATGTGGAATACAAAGAGATTAGCAGGAATCAGGCACATCTCTAATGGGCCATGAAGTTAAATGACTTCCTTGATGCTGCCTGAATAGAAATGCTGCTGCCTCTCCTGGGCAGTTGGTTTTTAAGTTTGGGTGGAAAAGGAATCAAAGGGGGTGGCAACTGTATCACTGCCCCCTACCTGGATCCACCTCTCTGTATAGCCTCCCTGGCTGTACTGATGCCTGTTCTGTTGTGTTCTTTGCCCCTGGATTAACCCCTCATGTGCCTCAGGCTGTCATCCTGCATTTCTGAGCTCTGACCTGCCTGTTTTCCCATAGGATACTGCAGAGGATATTCACTCCATTGACAGCTGTGAGTACATTTGGGAGGCTGGTGTGGGCTTTGCTCACTCCCCCCAGCCCAACTACATCCATGACTTAAACAGGTAAGGAGGCCCCAATGCATGCAGGGCTGTGAGCTAAGACTGCATACAATAGAGCTCAGGAGATGCAGAGATCCCTGGAAATCTATCTCCTCTGGTATCAGTGCTCTCGTATGAGTTTGCCCCTTGCTTTTGGGGATGTTCATCTTTATTGCCCCAAGGGGATGAGCTAGGATGTCCAAGATGCAATGATTGTCAGGGGGCTGGGAGAAGAGCTGGCTGAAACGCAGAACTTCCATGTCATGGAAAACTTCATGATTCTGAAATGTTGTTTCATTCTGAATTGGGACCATAAAAATTCCCAACATTTGTTTTCGTTGGGGAAACAGGTTTTGAAAAAGTTTTGTCTCAAACTCAGTTGGGACTGAGATTTCCTGGAGTACCTGTTGCTGGGGAGAGCAGTTGTGTGTGTCCAGCATCACAACTGGGTGGTTCCAGCTGTCCAAAGTTACCCAGCATTATTGAGCGAGGAGCTGTCCTGTGAGAGCTGAGGGTTTTGGATTTCCAGTGACCTGCTTCTAGCACCCTCTCCCAGCTGGCTCCAGGACTTAGGCTCCCATTTTTCTTTTTTCAGGACAGAGCTGCTAAAACTCCTGCTGACCTGCTTCTCTGAGGCCATGTACTTGCCACCCTCTTCAGACAACAGCAACACCAACCCCTGGGTGCAGTTCTTTTGCTCCACAGAAAACAGGTAAGAGGGGGTGAGGGCAGGTGCCCAAAGCTTTGGAGAAGGGATAGAGGGGGAAAAGCTCTGCTCCCAGCCCCTAGCCCTCAGGCGGGGAATGCAGGCAGCGTGGGAGGCCTTAGACTGTGCTTTCCAGGTCAAGTCATGTAGTGGCTTTTTCTCAAGGCACATTCTAGTTCACGCTGCTCCTCCCTCCTCTGGATTTGGCTCATTTTCTCTATCTTAAAAGTTTTGACTCCACCCATGAGCCCAGGAAGTAGGTCACTATTATTCCTGTTTAAGGGACAGACACTGAGGCACAGAAAGGTGAAGTAACTTGGCTCAGGCTGTGGCAAGGAAGCAGTTGCAGAGCTACCTGGGTTGGGCTCAGGCATCACTGATTCTGTGCTCAAACGACTCAGCTTTTCCTTTTTGTTGGCTCGACTCTTGGCTGGAGCAGGTGTCTTGGTTCATTTTGCAGGTGCCGTTGTGATGAGTCCAGTGGGCTGGCAGCGTGCAGTTACGGGTGAATGCTGCCCCCTTGCGGCCCAGTGCTGGGTCCTCTGTAGGAATTAGCTACCTGAAGCTATCTGTGCGTCTGAGGCTAGAGCAGGGGCGGGCAATTATTTCTGGTGGAGGGCTGCTTACTGAGTTTTGGCAAGTCATCGAGGGCCATATGACAAGCAGCCAGGGGCAGCTGAATATTAATTTTCTAAATTTTTAGAGGCTCCTTAGGCTGGATAGACTAGCCTGACAGGCCGTATTTGGCCTCCAGGCCGCATTTTGCCCACCCCTGGGCTAGAGGAAGCCAGCTTGTTTCCTTTGGCTGGAGCGCTTTCAGGGTCCTGATGTCTCTTAGCTGGTGAGGAGGGCTGCAGGTACAGCCATGGAGGCCAGCATCCTTTATTTTGACCACAAGTACACCACCAGCTTCCCCCAGTATCCAGCACTTCTCACCTGGGAGCCCTGCTGGGGTGGGCTGGGAGGTCAGTCTGTTGCGATTTCCTTTGCAAGACCAGTGCTTCCCCCTTTCCATCCTTGAGTACCTGGCACGCCCCTCTTGCAGACACGCGCTGCCGCTCTTCACTTCGCTCCTGAATGTCGTCTGTGCCTATGACCCGGTGGGCTATGGGATCCCTTACAACCACCTGCTCTTCTCCGACTATCGTGAGCCCCTGGTGGAGGAGGCAGCCCAGGTGCTGATAGTTACTCTGGACTATGACAGCTCTACCAGTTCAAGTCCCACGGTGGATGGCACCACTACCAGCACTGCTATGGATGATGCAGATGTAAGTCACCCAGTTACTCTGGGCCCTTGTGGCAGATCCTTTTCTTACAACTCCTCCTGATGCTGCTTCTTGTCTGCTGAGGGCTTCTATAGACATGTCTGCATCCAAGCCCAGCTTTCTTCTTCTCTTACTGTGCCTGTGTATGAAAGGGTAATGGTGATGATGAATAGTACCAGCAGCCACCAGGACATGCAGAATGGAGTTATTTTTTTTATGTAGAGCCGTGGCAAGGGTCTACAGCAGATCCAGACTCCTTATGCTGACCTGCTCTAAATACTGTCCTGAAGGGGCAATCTTCAATGGCCACTAGCTAGAAATGATCTTTGTGGCTCATAGGTAAAAGAGCCTTGTCTTATCAGTGCCCCTCTGAGCCATCTGGTTCCCAGGTTTTGAAGCATTGCCATGGAAGCATTTGGGTCCTCCAGAAAGCAGAGCCAATGTAAGTGCCTAGCTTATGACACCAGATGGTGGCTGATAAACTGGTAGCAAATGCCCCTTGCTTTGTGGTTTCCCAAGTAAACTCTGTTACTTATCAGTCCTTCTTTACCCTTTCTTTTAATGCAGCCTCCAGGACCGGACAACCTATTTGTGAACTATTTGTCTAGGATACACAGAGAAGAGGTAATGTGCTCCAATGTGGAGATGCTTTCAGATTGATTTCCTGTTGGCTAGGCTAACTGTAGGCCAGCTCACTGTGTTTCTCTACCCTCTTGGTTGTTTGTTGGCAGGATTTCCAGTTCATTCTCAAAGGACTTGCTCGTTTATTATCAAACCCCCTGGTCCAGACGTACCTGCCCAACTCTGCCAAGAAGATCCAGTTCCATCAGGAGCTTCTTGTTCTGTTTTGGAAACTCTGCGACTTCAACAAGGTGCGGCTCTGGTTGTGTTGTGTCCTTCCTTGAGCTGCACCAAGAATTGGTGGTGAAGCCAAGATCAAGGGGATAGAAATAGGAAAGGGACTGGGTCACCTTGAAATAGAGGGTATCTGAGGGTAGAAACAGAGGTCTGGTTGTGGTGGGGTGAAGTGGCCTGTGCTGGGACAGAGCAGATTCTATTTGGATGTTCCTCGTATGTGTCATTGGACAAGGCCCAAACTCTGCTGTGAGAAAAAATGTGGGAACAGTTTGTCCTGCGACATTGCAGAGGGCATCTGAATTCCTAACCCCAGCCATGTGGTAGGATAGGGGACCCAGGCATCCTACAAGCCAACACTTCCATCGTAATCCCAGCTGTTTTTCACTTCAGGGCATGCATCTGCAGGTGCAGTTTTGAGGGCATGTCTTTTGTGCTGCACATCAGGAGAACCCCATAGGGCTTCCTGCTTGCAGACATGTGCCCTGGCATGGGGCCAGGTACCTGGGCTGTTTTCCTGCAGAATTGGACACCTGAGGCCCTAAGAGAAGCAGGGGCCCGATCTTGTGGGACAATGACCCTGGGCAACATCTGTACCTGACAATCAGTTGGGATCAGCTTTGCCAGGATGCATCTGTTTCTAGCCTGGCTGGCATGGAGCATATGCCCAAAGATGGATTTCTGGCATTGAAAGCATACAAAGCCAAGTGTTTTTGGGTCCCATTGTCTTTTCAAATTGGTTAAATTTGCTGTTGCATCCCTACGATTCTGTCGAAAAATAACTTAATGGCACTACAGCACATTGTAATCCCTCTAACTAGCTAAGAGACACTGAGCTATTCTTTCTGTTTCTTTTTCTTCATTTATATTCACCCTTTTCCTCCTGCTTTCCCAGGCCTTCTCCCATACCCACTAGAAGTTTGTTGCATACCAGCAGGTTTGAGAAGTAGTGGTTTAGGCATAAAGTATGTGATGTGGGTGGCTCTGTCTGAGCTGACATCAGTGTAGAGGTTGGGGGTGATCATATGATGCAAGGATATCTGATTATGATGGCCCCCGATGAGTGGCTGGGATGCCCTTGGGTTCAGTTGGCCCTGCTTACTGGTGGGCAAGTAGGGGAGAACTTGTGAAACTGGTTGTGCTGGTCCCTTTGGGTGGTGGTAAGAGTGTGACCATTTGATAGCCGAGGCTCTAGTTCCTGTGCCTGATTACTGGAGTCCAAAGCAGAGCAGCGTGTGAGAAAGATCCTTCTAAATGATAGGGACCTGGAAACCCTGTGAAACAAGGGCTGTTTTTCATGCCTCATTCCATGTTCAAGGCCTGTTGGTTAGGCCCTGTTTAGAGGCTGACCAATTCCTTTCCTTCCCTTGTTATTGGGTGGTTGAGATCAGTGAGTAATAATACGTTATTAAAATGGATACTGATTTTTAGAGATCTCATGACATGAGATACACAAACCCAATGGGAGCTGCAGATTCTCAGCCTCTCTGATATGTTGCCTGGAGTGCTGCTTGTTCTAATGAGCATTTGGCTGGGACTATAACCAATATGAGACCTTTGACCAACGTGGATGTTAGAAAAAACTCATAGGAGATCCTTCCTTCTCTTTCAGAAATTCCTCTTCTTTGTGCTGAAGAGCAGCGATGTCCTGGACATCCTGGTCCCAATCCTCTATTTCCTAAATGATGCCCGAGCTGATCAGTGTAAGTGTACTGTCTGCTGTTCCAAAGGCTTGTGGTTCAACTTGAGCTCTAGAGACGCATCTCTTATCCTCTCTCTGGGGAGAGATGAACAATGGGTCTTGTCCTGCCATAAATTGGGATTAACTCATCAGAAGTTACAGTGCTGTAAATGAGAGGGAAAACTAGATCGTGCATGTCTAATTCAGGGCTCAGTGAAAAAATTTAATGGAGAAAAAAAGCAATTCCATGCAAATCCTTCATTTATTGTCTCCATTCTGCCACCTTATTAATTTCCTACTGGAGACAGGACTGAAGTGTGAGCTTTCCCTTGTGTCAATAGGTACCCCCATCTTCTGGCCTTGTACTGGAGGTGGAGATAGGGTCACCTAATGTAGAGTGAGAGGTTTGGTTGTGTTTCTCCTGTGCTTCTTCTCTCCTCCCTGCCCTTTTTCCTCTACTTGCCATCTGGCTTCAGCACTGTGCTTCTGTCTGCAGCACGAGTGGGGCTGATGCACATCGGTGTATTCATCCTGCTTCTGCTCAGCGGGGAGCGTAACTTTGGGGTTCGACTGAACAAGCCATATTCCGTGAGAGTGCCCATGGATATCCCCGTCTTCACGGGGACGCACGCCGACCTTCTCATCATAGTGAGTTTGGCACTGCCTATTCCTGCCAGTGGTAGCTCAGATTTCCTTTGATTCCCTTTCTGTCATTGCCTTCAAAGTACAGGTCCCTTCCAGCCCATGGGATAGTTAGAAAGTCATGGACGTCCATCTGGGATGTATCTGTGCATTTCTTCCTTGCATTTTGTGAACATGAGAGAATACTTCCTTCAGTCTTTTTCTGTTCCTTGCTCTTGTTAGAGGGTGGGTTTTCTGAAATGCAGGGTACTGGTTTGGAGGTGGACATTTCTCCCAGATGGCTTTTGAGGAATTATGGATGGCAGGAGGTGGCTGAATTTTATGGTCATTAGAGCTGGAAGACAGTTTCACCTCTCTTGGGAATCAGGAAATATGGGTTAATTTCCTGGCTGTAGCCCAAGTACGTGGTGTAGCTGTGAGCCTTTGGATGTCTGCTTCCTAAATTGCAAAAGGGTGGACACAGTCGTGCTTGCCCCCACCTCCACAGGGCTGGAACAAAGTCAGAGTTATTTACAGTGTGTGGGAGGCATTTAGATATAGGGCAGAAATGCCTATTAACAAAGCTCTGTGTACTCTGAGTAGGTGAGTTCAAAATCCATCCTTGATCTCCGTGACTTTATGGTATAGCGGAGAAGAACTGCTACAGCAGCTTTGGCTGATACTAAATGATATGTGTTAATAAATCACCCAATCAGCAGGGGGTCCCGGGGGATATTTGCATATAAATTCAGTTTGCTATTGGTCTTGAATTGCCCATCCTGAAGACTTTTTTGCACTAGCATTCTAATGTAGTGGGGGTGTTGCCTAGGAACGGGAAGAGGCAAAGGGGGGGTGTCTTACTAGCTTAAGGGGCAGCTGAGGCTTTTGACACCTGAGGTAACAGCGGGTGCAATAAATCCCCAGTAAAATGGCCTGCTGGTATTTAAAGGGGCATTGTTAGACTCCAGGGTCAACGTCGGATTTGGATGAGTGGGGCAGTCCCTGCCTCTCTGTTGCATACAAGGCATCCTGAAACTCAGGAAGGTGGTGCTGCCTCAGCCTGCCAGCAGTTTCTGTTTTCAGTGTTTTAAAGTGTTAATCATACAGGCCAAGACGGATTCTTTGCACATGAAAGCCTAGAGCCTTGGAGCACTAGTTTGCAGCCAGGGCTGCCTTCCACACCTGTGTAATTGCAGTGTGTGCGGGGCCCTGCCTAGGAATGAATGGTGCCAGGAAGTTAGTGTGGGATGGTGCTGTGAACAGCTCAGCTCTGCTGCTTCTCCTATTGCTCAATGCCTCCCTTGCTGCAGGTCTTTCACAAGATCATCACCAGTGGGCACCAGCGGCTGCAGCCCCTCTTTGACTGCCTGCTCACCATCATTGTGAATGGTAAGTGGCCCTTGCTTTGGGGGAAAGCAGCCTGCAAGGGGAGACAGCCTGATTTCCCTTTATAATGACAGAGTAGGGACCCAGCTGCTGCCCATGTTTGGTAGCAATTTGCCCATCCAGTTGAGCTAGCAGCCATCACCAAAGGTGACAGGAACAGTCAACACAGATGATCTTTCTGTAGCATTTAGCTGGCTCGCATGAACCATCTCTGCATCCTTTGCTTTCTTGCTACGTTGCACATGCACCCTAGAAATGATGTCAGGTGGAGTCAAATGACCGTTAAATTGGAGGCTTTCCCTGCAGAAGAGGTGATGGCACAAACACCTCCCCAAGCCTGTAACTAAAAGGATGGCTAGAAGATGCAAAGAAAACGTGGCGCGCAGGGCTTGTGACATGCGGTGCTGACACTTGGTCAGCAGGTGGCAGGAGTTACCTTCTGCTGGAGACATCTGGACTTGTGGTTTTGTAGCCAGCGTGTTCCACTGCGGAACAATCTAGCTGTAGAGTTGAATCAAGGATACCAATGTTTGGGAGGTTGTTTTGAACCTCTGCCTTTGGACGTCAGTAGAGAGTGATACCACCTCTGTAGAATTCAATCTGCTGTTCTTAGAAACCCTATGGGAAAAAAAAATCTCTCTTTTTAGTTCCATTGTATTTTAATATGATTTACTGTAGGGCCCCATTGGGTTCATCCCTCTTGTATCCCATGAGGCTCTTCTTTAAGGCAGCTCAGTGGCATCAGTTCTTAGCTCCTTCTCATGAGTCCTGTTTTTTGCTCCATTTGTTCCCTTCTCTTTTTTTCCCCCCCTAGTGTCTCCGTATCTGAAATCTCTTTCCATGGTTGCTGCCAACAAGCTGCTGCACCTCTTGGAGGCCTTTTCCACCACTTGGTTTCTCTTCTCTGCTGTCCAGAACCACCATCTTGTCTTCTTCCTGCTGGAGGTTTTCAACAACATTATCCAGTACCAGTTTGATGGTAAGAGACTGACTGTAAGCTAGTTCCCTGGCCCTTTCCACTGCTGTAGTTCAAGAGAGCATGGGGATGAATTTAGGAGAATGTCTTGCTGTGTGATATAAATTGATCATCCTTTTTTCTCAGAGAGAGACTGACTAGGTGAGGTCTTTTCTAGAGATGTTGACGTGGATGTAGCTACTACTGGTGCCAAGTCCCTGCTGCAAAATGCAGTGTGTACTTGTTACCAATTTGTGGGGGGAACCCCATGAGAACCTAGTACAGAGAGAGCCTAAAAGGCATGATGGGTAGCAGTCCTTCATCCCTACAGAGTTCCCACTGAGGTGGGATGGGCCCTTCCTTCCATGGAGGGAAGAGGCTTGTTGAAGTGGTACAGTGAGTAGGAAGAGGGAGATGCTAGAGTCGAGGAGCCACGCTTCAGTTGAAACGGCAGTCTGTAAAAACTCTTGAACTTCTGGGTTGCTCAGATGTCACTCTTGACTCTTCCCACCAGTCACTACGGTGTTTTACCTCGGGTAGAACCTGGCTGTCTCAGGCTTTGCTTATTCATCATAAAGAAGTACAAAATGGCACAAAAGCAGGATTTTCCCCTCTTTTACAAGTTACTATTACTGTTCCCTTGAAGGCAAGTTCCCCGAGGTAGATAATGGTAGTAGCAATTTCAAGAGTCTTTTTTTTTTTAAATCCACTTACTTTGCTGTGGTTCCCAGGGAATTCCAACTTGGTGTATGCCATCATCCGCAAGCGGAACGTATTTCACCAGCTGGCCAACTTGCCCACAGACTCGCAGACCATCCAGAAAGCCCTGCAGCGCAAGAAGAAAACTCCTGAGCCCATTTCTCGCACCAACTCCGAGGAAGGGGTCTCCATGGAGGGCTCGCGGCCTGCTGCTCCTGCCGAACCAGGGACACTGAAAACTAGTCTGGTGGCAACTCCAGGTCAGCCTTAACTTCTTTTTTTAGTGGTGAGGGGTGGGTAAGGAGGGCACAGATGTTTCTCTATAAGACATAGCATGGCTTCAGTCTTTATATGGGCTGTTGGAAAAGATCAAGAGATTGTCTGCACAAGAGAGCTATCAATTAAAAAAACAAACAAACCTGGCACAGAAAACCAGGGGCACATATGTATTTTGGTATAAGAATAGCTGATTGTAATTCAGCCTAAGTTGCAAGTCAGTTGAGCCCATGTCAGTTAGGAAGCTGAAATAAGCCTCTTATACTGAACGTGAGGGGCTGACATGGACTTTTGTCCCAAGTTAACTGCATCAGTGTGAGTTTACAGCTTGTATCATACTAGTGCATCTGCCTTGTGAACACACAGCACCTCCTTTGGAGTGTAAAAGCAAGGCAAATCCACCCATGTTCTGGTAGTGGGAGGACACTGCGTGAAGATGGAAACACTGGGAATACGGGTTTTTTTGTAAGACTTGGAAGATAAGTTACTTTGACCCTCAAGAATCCCCCAGACTCTCTTCTTTCTCTGAATCCAGGCATTGACAAGCTCACGGAGAAATCGCAGGTGTCGGAAGATGGGACCATGCGGTCCCTGGAGCCAGAGTCTTCACCGTCCCCATTAGAAGGCAGCCCACCATCAGCGGTTAGTGACACAGAGTCCTGGAGCGGGGTAAGGCCACGCATTTTCCTCCAGCCTGGAAAAGTTTGTAAAATGGCACCAAAGAGGGTAAAGCCTATGAATCCTGGAGAGAACCTGACAGACTCTGCCTCAGAATGGTTATCACCTGCAGGGTAACATGTGCGTCCCAAGCTGCACTGAAAAGCCATAGAGTTTAAAAATACCCTAGCTTGGTGGTTGCCAATCTTTGAACCAGCAGGCAAGCATCAACCCTCAGTTTCTTGTGGGCCACCATGTACCTTTATCACTGAAAAGTGGGGGAGCCCTGGTGCTGTCTGCAGACCAGCAAGGGACTATTTCCTATGGCTTCATGGACCCCAGGAGTCTGTGGACCACAGTTTTGGGGGATTGCTGGCCTAACACTGTTCTGGGTATTATGTGCCCATGTTAGCCCCAGGATCCCACTGCTTTGGCCATAAAAACTTTATCCCCAAACGCATGGAAAATAAAAACAGAATCTCACTATGATCTTGGGACCTGCCACCTCTTTGAGAGGAGCAAATGGGCGGATGAGAACCTGATGGTGTTTAACACTGAAAAATGCAAGGTTCTCCACCTTGGAAAGAAAAACCTGCAGCATCCTTATAGACTCGGCAGTGCTACACTGGCTAGCACCACGGAAGAAAGAGACTTGGGGGTCATCATTGACCACAAGATGAACATGAGCCTGCAATGTGATGCTGCGGCTAGTAAAGCGACCAAAATGCTGGCTTGCATCCATAGATGCTTCTCAAGCAAATCCCGGGACGTCATTCTCCCCTCGTACTCAGCTTTGGTGAGGCCACAGCTGGAGTACTGCGTCCAGTTTTGGGCTTCACAATTCAAAAAGGATGTGGAGAAGCTTGAGAGTGTCCAGAGAAGAGCCACGTGCATGATCAGAGTTCAGGAAAGCAGACCTTACAACAACAGGCTGAGAGCCAAGGGGCTCTTTAGCCTGGAAAAGCGCAGGCTCAGGGGTGATCTGATGGCCACCTGTAAGTTTATCAGGGGTGACCACCAGTATCTGGGGGAATGTTTGTTCACCAGAGCGCCCCAAGGGATGATGAGGTCAAACAGGTATAAACTCCAGTAAGACTGTTTCAGGCTGGACATAAGGAAGAATTTCTTCACTGTCGGAGCCACCAAGGTCTGGAATAGCCTGCTGACGGAGGTGGTTCAAGCACCTACACTGAACACCTTCAAGAGCAAATTGGATGCTTATCTTGCTGGGATCCTATGACCCCAGCTGACTTCCTGCCCTTTGGGCAGGGAGCTGGACTTGACCAGAGTTTTTTTCCCCACTGGTTACATTGTGCAAAATTGTTAACATTGTGCAAGCTCTTCAGCTGATCCCTTTTACGCAGTACTTCACAGCCCACGCTGTCCTTCAAGGCACACCTCATGTACATTTTCTCGTGGGCTCATTCCATGACAGGCAGGTTACAGTAGTGGAGGCAGCTCTGGTTTAAGTACTCGTTATCTAGGATGCTTAAGGAGCACAGTGGCAGGGTAGTTAAAGCATTCTCCCCGCAGCTCCAGAGGTGTGAGTTTGAGCCTTGCTCTGCAGAAGGCAGCCCCCACTGAGCCAGCTGGCTTGGTCTGGTTTACTGGAAGTGGCTGGACTCGATGTTAGTCACACATGGCTCCCTCCTATGCTGTTGGCTACAGGAACCAGTTTGCCGTAACAGCTCTAATCCCAGGAGCCATCTAGGCGTATGAAGACCTTTGAGTTGGACTTTTAATCTGGGATGTTTTTGTATCAGGAGGATCATTGCCTCTCCACCTAGTCAGCAGCAAGACAGTCCCATGGTACATCACACAATGCTTTCCCACCTTCCTTTCTGGGCTCCTGTAGTTTTGTTTGCCAGTCAGTCTCTCCTGTCTAAGTTCCCCTGGGACTGGACGGGGTAGTGGTTTTGCTTGGTGTGTGAGGGATTGCTTAGCCAAAACTTGGCTAAAATCAAGCTTTATTCCTAGTGAAATTTATTGTTTATATTATAGCATCTATAAACCCTAATCTGGACCAGTAGCCCTGTTTTGTCTCTTCCTTAAGTGATGGGTTATTTCAAAGACAGCTGTCTTCTGCTTCAGATGACATTGTCCTGGGAAGCCCACCTTACTGTAACAAGGTTTCATCGCATTTCCCCCGGTAACATTTTGAACTGAACCAGTGCTGCAGAATTTATATCTAGATTTCAGCTCCTGTCCTGGAAAGCCGGAAGCACTTTTTTGAAGGATAGGCTCTTCATAAGGCAGATATCTGTTCTTGTTAAAAACAAAGCAAGGGAAACTGCCGTGGTCAGCTAAAAGTTTACCGCTGATTTCTCATAAAGGTCATTGGTTGTTCACAGTTCATCTCCTCACCTCCGTGCCTGACTAGGATGGCACTTTGGTACATTTACATCCTTCAGACAAGGGGACTCGAATGCTGACAGTATCCAGCTGTCAAAGGTAGTTCCAGTGAGGCTACGTCTTCATATGGGTACTTGAAGGCCACGTCCCTTCGTGCCTAGGCAGCCAGATAGACTTACTCACACGTGAAAGGTGTAGTAGCACAAGGGCGCTGTGTTCTAGTGCACTCAACAGAAGATCCCAGTGCTCGAACCTATCTCTTCTAACAGCTCCCTCCATCTTTAGTTGCCCATAGGCTTGGGGCTCCATCACGTGGGTCTTTGGGTCTAGTCCTGGAGACACATGCATGTGAATTGCCCCACACATAAACAGGACTATTCACGTGTCTGCAGAAGTGGGGCCAAAAAGCAGAAGTGATGCACTGGGAGAAGAGGAAAGGTGAAGGTTGTAACTGTACTACCAGTGTTTCAGTTAGCTTTGTGCTTCTCTCCGTGGATCCAAGAAGGGTTGGATCATGTACGCATGATGTATTTTACTGAGCAGCAAATACTTCAATAAATCATGTCCCTTTATCTACAGTGGCCATTTTCTTACCCCATAGGGTGAAGCTTAGTCCTCTCCCCTCTAACTGATTTAAAACACTTCACTGGACTTTCATCATTGATCTTCCTCTTATCAGTGGGAGCCATCTCAAAAGCATCTTTGTTTAACATTCATATTGCCACATAAATCCTATCCCACTGCTCCCTAAATGTGTCAGCTAGATTCAGAACAGTGGGGAGAAGATGGGGAGGGTTGTGAGTGAAAGAGGAAGAGGAGTAGGTCAGGTTAACTAAAACAGGCATTTTTATATTGTTATAAATATATTTTTAGAGCCTGTGTGTAGGTGTGATGCTGCAGCTGAATAGGTTGAACCCTGAGGATGTTGGAACGACAAATGTTGCAAAACTGAACTGCCAGTTAGAGAGAATTCAAGAGAGCTGAGTTTCCCTGCGTGGTTTGCCTTCCCCTTTTGCCCTCTTCACTGCCTGGTGCTGGCTTTGGCCCTGATTCAGTAAAGCATGCGTCTGTCTTTAGAACCCAAATGGTTCCATTGGAGCCAATAAGACAAAATTAAATGTTCATTTAGAAAAAGGCCCGAGTATCTTGCCATCTGGAGCTTTAATCCATCAGCCTTCCGTGGAAAATGCTCATTGGTAGTTGCACCTTTGTGCAGAAGTAATGACTCCCTGCTGACCAGCAGCTGGATTGAGCTGTTTCCCACATAGCAACACTTAGGATCATACAAAAGTGGAGTTGGAAGGGACCTCAGGAGGTCATTTAGTTCAGCCCCCTGCTTAAAGCAGGACCATCCCTGACTCGGTCATCCTAGCCAAGTGTCTGTCCAGCCTATTCTTCCACAACTTTTCTAGGTAACCTGTTTCAATGCTTGATTAGCCTTATATTCAGAAAGGACCTCAGTCTCCAACCTAAATTGTCCCTGTTTCAGCTTAAGGCCATTGCTCCTAGTCCTGTCCTGTCCTGTCCAGTCTGCTTACATGACGGCACCTTGAACTTGTGCCCAGTTCATGCTTTCACTGGGGGGAAAAAAAGCATCGTAGCCTAAATTTCTGGTGCTTCTTGTTGTGAAGATGAACTGCGCATAAACCCAAGCAGAGCTGTTTTTCTGCATCTATGAGTATATAGCATGGGCGGGCACTTATTTTGGGCAGAGGGTGCTTACTGAGCCATCGAGGGCCGCATGACAAGCAGGTCAGGGCAGATTAATATTAATTTTCTAAATTTTTTAGGGGCCCTGCGGGCCGGATAGAATGGCCTGGTGGGCTGCATCCAGCCTGCGGGCCACGTTTTGCCCACCCCTGGTATATAGGTATAGACACTGACTTCAAGGACCTAGAACTGCTTCTGTTCATCTCCGTGGGGCTTGTTCATTCTGAGCCATCACTAGGAAAACATGAAAGTGGGCTGTGGTGTCAAAAATGGGGTCTTCTGTCCTGCACAAAGAAGTCCTGAAATGATTTTAACAGGCTTATCCTTCTACCTTGTTTTGTGATACCCAGGTCTTAGACAGACAGACGTCCTCTGTCTGCCTGTCTGTCTGTGTCTCTTTGTGACTGAAGAAACTAGGAGGAATATGCCACTATTAATACAAGGAAGTAAAACCTGGCCAGAGATGTTTTAGTCAGAGTCTCTTTAAACTCTTTGTTCAAAATGCTCAAAGGCAAATAGTGATTTTGTTGCTTGTTTTTTGGACAAGGCACTTTAAAGAGCCTGATTTACTGGAGGTGCTGAGAGTGTAGCCTCAGAAAATGAGATCCCTTGAAGATGTGTCCAGATGGGCATCAGAAACACATGTCCAAAATCCCTGCTTACATTTGAAAGCTTCAGTCTTATTAGTGACTGTATTGTTCCAGCTGTATGTCAACCTTTGGTCCCCCCCACTGCCCCTGCAAACATATTATTAAACTAGCACTCATTCTGTGTACAAAACCAGTCTAATTCAGGCCACCCCATTAATCTTTTCCATTTGCTGTATTTTGGGCAGGTGAGGTTTTTTCAGAGTGGTTTCTATTGTAGTATTTTAGCGCATTTAAACTTTTGAGCCCTTTTCTTGGTTATTTCAGTCTTCTGTGGGCTTTTATGAGGGCTATAGCAATTTAGGGCTTTATCTGCAGTTACTAATTCCTCTTTGGGGAAAAGGTGTACCTGCCCCCCATCCCCTTGCCCTCTCCCCCTGAAAAATCCAAACTGAACCTGAAAATATGGGATTTGACATATCATTGGAGCAATATAGTACATACCTTGAGCCTTCAGGAACATCAGAAGCAAGCAAAACCAGAACTGCCAATTGCTTTGTCCCTTTCAGGTCTCATGAGAACACAAGAACTGCCATTTACTGGGTCAGCCCATAGGTCTGTCTTGCCCAGTGTCCTGGGTCACACAGTGGCAGAGAGGATGCTGAAAGGGGGAGTGAGTTGGGTCTGACCAGGGTTTTTTCCCACTGCTCCTCTCTCACTTGCAGCCTCCAGCATTTAAGGTCTAGGAAGTTCTGATTCAGAGGCTATACCACTAACTCCCATGATCAATAGTTGCTGATGCCCCTTTTCTCCAAGAATTTGCCCAATCCCTTTTTGAATCTGGCCAAATTGTCAGCTCCTTTAACTGCTGACTCTCTTAGCAGAAACATGAAAGACAGTAGCCAGAGGCATAACCCTGGGGCTTCCTCACAGTGTAACCCCTTCTGAAGACATAACAGGTCTTTTTTGCTGCTCAAGGCTAGTACCAAACAAGGGGGTAAATGTAATGCTGATATTGGTATGTTTTTCCCTGGGACGTGATCAGGCTGTTTTGTACGGCAATACACTGGGGATGGGGCAGTTTTTGACACAGACCAGATGCCCCTGCTTTGCTCCATGCTTGTGCTGACTCTGGTTTAATCTTAACAGGAGACATCACAGCCCAAGCAGGAGCGAAGGCGGCTGTCCAGTGCATCCTCAACCGGGCAGTGGTCCCCAACTTCTGACTGGGTGGGTAAACCCAGGGTAGAGGAAATAGATGGCAGAAGAAACTCCTGCTTCCCGAGTGGGGGCATCTCAGCTGTGCTGAGGCAGATGTATCTGAGGGAATTTAAGTGGATTTGGGGCCTGATCCCCTGACATCCATGGAGTGTCTCATAGACTTCAGTGAGTTGGGTGCATACCCAGGCTTCTGTATTAGAGCGGAAGATACCTTGGGAAGAGGGAGAGACCCTGGGTGTGACAAGGTCCCTCGTCAGGGCTTCCTTCTGATGTGCTGTTCGTTTTAGTAGGTACACACCCCTTGTCAGAGACTTCTAAAACCAAATACACAGCATGTTGAAAAGTGAAATACCTTCTTGAATACCAAGGGATTAGGTACTAATCCACAAAACATGTGCAACCATCTCCACGGGACACTGATTTTTCTTGCTTGCGGGGGGGCTTTCACCTGCAGGTGATCTCTTGGAAGTCAAAGCTGCCTCTCCAGACAATCATGAGACTCTTGCAGGTGCTGGTCCCTCAAGTGGAAAAGATCTGCATTGATAAGTAAGTGCATTCAGGAAGGGGCTGAGCTGCACAAAGATGTGTGTGGAGCCCCTCGGATTGGGGGCCAGCTATGGGGGTGGGTGTGAGTAGCTATAGCCTATGATATCATATAGACCCAGGGATTGAGAACCTAAAGCCTGTGGAGTCACTGGATATGGCTTGCCATGGCAGGGCTTCAGCAGCATTTGGTGGTGGGGGCTTCCCTTGTGCCATGGGGAGCTCCTCTGTGCAGTGTTTGGGTGAAGTGGTTGCAGTGGCTGCAGGTGCTGGCCCACCTCAGCCCTGGGTTAGCACCACCTGCGTCTTCCGTAGTTGAGTCCACTGGCCCTTTGCGTATGTATATGTGCATGGTGTACGTGCTTGTTGGGTTGGGACTTTCTGCTGTAGCCTTTGCCACGGGGGGGCAGCTGAGGATGCGCATGTTCTCTCGCTTTCTGCAGGGGCCTCACGGATGAATCCGAGATCCTCAAGTTCTTGCAGCATGGCACGCTGGTGGGACTGTTACCTGTCCCTCACCCCATCCTGATCCGCAAATACCAAGCTAACTCGGGCACTGCCATGTGGTTTCGGACCTACATGTGGGGAGTTATTTATCTGAGGTAACCTAGCTAGGTGCAAACAAAGCCCATTTCCCCCTAACAACAGAGAGGTTTCTGTGGGTGTGTTTGCTCCGCAGAGGGCACTGCCATCTCGAGGCTTGTCAGGCATCAGTCACTTTGAGGAGTTGTTCATGTATTCATGTTGCGTCCCTCGTACCAATGTCAAGTTAACGTCAGAGGAATTGCAGATGACAAGTAATCTGGTAGAACCCGCTGCAAGCCCACTTCCTCATCAAGTCCCACCCAAGGAGGCTGTGTGACTTGTTCCAGGTCACACAAGATAATGGTGATTGGGGGCATGGAGACTGGGTCTCCCAGGCTTTGGGCTAGCACCTTCCCTAGCATATCCTTCATTTATGAAATGGTGGGTGAAGTTGTAGCTGCTCTAGGACTTGCCTCTTCCAGTGAGGGGCGCTAGAAAAGGTAGCAACGGGAGATCACAGATGCACCAATACCTTTCTCTTCAAGCAGGAAGCCTCACAGCCTGTGGAGGGAATTGCAACTCTTCTAATGTCTGCCTCTGCTTACAAGAGGCACTACCGGGGATTGGTGTGGAAGGATTTCTCAGCACTTCATAGTTACGGCAGACTCCTCTTTGCAAAACCATCAAAGTCCTGAGGACCCAGTCCTGGAATCCCAACTGGCGGGTGCGCGTGCCTGGCACATCACTCCATTGTGCAGAAAATAACACGAATGTGTTTCCCTTCCAGGAATGTGGATCCCCCGGTCTGGTATGACACAGACGTGAAGCTCTTTGAAATTCAGCGAGTCTGAGAGCACAGGGAAGAGGGCACTTACCTCTACTAAAGGAAAACACTGGAAACAAGACCTTGCTGTGTGCTGCTTCATTACAGCTATTCCCGCATTTCACAGCCAGCTGCGAGACCAAAAGGACAATCATTTCCATTTCCCTACATATCATTTTAAGCTTTAAGGAGGACCTGTGAGCAGATCCTTATCCCCTTGCTCACTCCTTCCCCCTCCTTTCCTAGCAACCTTGAGTGAGAGATGCCTAAGGACTGTCCCTTGTGTTGTTGCACTAGAAATCAGACCATTCATAGCTTTTCTGTCCTCTCACTCCTGGCTTTGGTTTGGAGACCAGTCTGAGCCATATCAGCCACAGCTTAAGAGTTTCTCCACTTGGTCATGTCCCAGCCAGATTCAGCATATAATCAAAAAGATTCAATAGAAAGAGTTAAACTGAGTCATGGAGGGAAACTGCTACTACTGCAGGAGGGGAGTGTTAGACATACAGAGGGGTTTTGCGTGGTTCTTTTCCCAAAGAATTGGTTCTAACACCCATCAGGTTGCAGGTCTTCTTGCTGCTGTCTTGCTTCACTCTGTACTTGCTGCTGTCTTGCTTCACTCTGTACAGTTGTGGGGATCTTTATTTAATGAAAAGGGAATGCTGAAGGAGATCCACTTTGTCCTGGTCTCTATTTTACATCCCGCCTTTCTTCCCCTTCTTTGGAAACTAGTGTTAGGTTCTTGTAGCAGCTGAGGCTTCAGTGCAATAACAAGATCTACTCTCCTTCTTCCTTCCCCACCTTGTCGCTGCCTCAGAGATTTGCAGACCAGGAATGTTACTCTGGCTTTGCAGGTGGACTGTTGCAGCGAACAGGGTGGGGTGTATGTGTTTTACAGCCCCTTGGAAAGCTGTGTGCAATCATGGAGAATCAGGGCAAAGGCTGGGAGGGCTAGCCTAGGGGAGGCAACAGCAAGCTGAGCCTGACAAGGAGAAAAAATAAGGATGTGTTGCCCTCCTTCAGCCTTCTCCAATTGATTGATGAGCTGGTTTGTTTGGATTTGGAAGGAGCTGTGTCATTATTGGGCAGGCAGGTTGTCACAATGGAGGGCATTTGGAGAAGGGTGAAAGGGGTGGGTTGTCCACTGCTTTTTCAGTGCCAGGCATTGAGGGAGGGTCTTGGGGACATCCCAAGAAGCATGTTGAAGGCATGATTAAAATGGTTGCAGCTAGGCAGGAGGGACTCTGGGGTAAAGGTAAATTCTTCCAGGCACCCGGATGGGTTCTGGATTCAAGAAAGCTGGCTTGCTTTGGAGCCCAAGTGCGGTAATGAGGAGCCTGAACTTTGCAAGGTCAAAGGAGATCAGCTCCTAGCTCATGAAATGGATTAAGTGCAGGTTGCAGACTGGACTATGTCCTGAGGTCTGAACCAGATCACTGGAAGGGCCTTCTTGCAACTCAGCTCTATTTTTGACCACAAAATGAGCAGGATTCCCCATCCAAATGTTCCCCATCATGTAGCCCCCAGGGTTGTGCTCTGTCCAGGGATGAAAAGGGTTTGGCATCTGTAATCCAGTGAGTCAGGTATAGGTGACTCTGAGTTGACCATTCACACTATCCATAAGTATGGGGGCAGGTGTGTTACAGCAGCTCCCTTGTTCTTCTCTCCTTTCCCCCCAACCCATGTGTGACGACCTGAGTGTTGCACAACCAGCCGTATTGCTTTTCTTCTGTAGAGAGGTCTGCTTTCATATAAGCAGCCTGCTGACCTAGTAGTGAACCCCTCTCCCTGTTTGGGTGCTGAAGGTGGACTAAAGCCCCCTGCCCAATTGAGCTCCCTGAAGTGTAGCCTGGAAGACCACTGAAGAACAAAGGCTGCATAGGGAAGAGAGCATTTCCTCTCCCCATGCCTCATCCATTTTGCCACCTTTCACCCCCCACCCCCCGCCTCCACCTGTATATAAAGACATTCACAGATTGAACTCTATATTTTGCTTGGAATATTTCCTGTCTTAAGAATGTGATTGGGTGGTGCCCTTGGTGATGGGCCAGCCCCTGATTGTACTGCACTTACACTTCTCAGCTGGAGAGGGGCCTTATGTCCTAGGCACTGGCTTCTCTCCCCACCCCTCCTTCCCTGGTTTTG